TGATCTTTAAGGTCGCTTCCAACCCAAACCATTCTGTGATTGTTTCCATCAGCAGTGCCTTAAAGCCTTTTTTTTTAGCTTGAATGAGAAAATGAATACATTCAGTGTTGCACAGTTAGGATGTTTCACAAAATTTTTACCCACCACTAAATTGTAGGTGCTAATCTAAATATGTGTGCTTCTGTCTACTGAACCAAGATAAGGCAATGGTGTACAAAGGAATACACAGATAACCACGTTTGCTCTTGCCTTTTATTCCTGGTGTAATTTATCCATCTCTGCATAAAATCTATGTGTGCCATTCAGCCGCAGGTCTTGGGCTGACTGCATGCCCATGAAGGAAATCCAAGTGTTGTGTCTTGTAAACACTTATTCCAACATGTGGAGGAAAGCAATGATTTAGATGCAGAGCTAGAAGCAGAAGAGTGAAGGAGAAAGACAAGTGTAATGAAAGGAATTTTATATTATCTCCCATTTTTAAAATAACTCTCTTTATCTCATCTTAAAGAAGAGATAGAGCTTATAAATATACAAGGGGTTTTGCCACATAGATATGGCTAATAATATAAAAAAATTAGAAAAGAAATATAAGCCATGGATTCTAATATACAAGAAACAAAAGCAGTATCTTCAGAAAACACAGTTGCAACAAAAAGTTTGGAGATTACAGTCATTCCAGGAGCTGTGTGCTAAACAAACTCAACATTTATTCTCCTTACGGCCTAAAACTTAGCTTAAAAATTAAGTAAAACTTAAATTTTATTTTAATATACACCTTTAGCATCTTGTTTAAGAAAAATACATCCTGGAAACAATTTCCAGCATAAGAATTTTCCACCATCTCACTTTTTCTGCAGATGATAGTTCTGATTTAGGGAATCAGAATGCTATAGAAGGCGTAAGGGGCTGCAAACCCAATTTGAAGCATTTCAGATTATTATCCTAAAGAACAGGTCACGGTTGCTGTCTTCCTCTGCTGAAGTCTTCATTTAACAAAGTGCTTAAGCACAAGCTTATAGATTGATTTAAGTAGAAGTTCTGTCAAATTTGGTTGGGAACTTTGTTGCAGTTATCAAATCCTAGCAAGGGATTGATTTCTAAGTAATCAAATTGCTCACATTTCTCTTCTGGACTCTTGAGACAGGGACTGAATTTTACCAAAGGCCATTAACAGTGCAGAGCAGGCAGAGCCCACTTGGCAGAAGGGATTACTTACCCTGGCTGTCTTCTCCAAAGGAGGTCTGAACCTGCCAAGTAACTGCATGCAAACCCCATGGATCTGTGCAGGCATCACCAGCTGATGGGAATAAGCCCCCCCAACCAGGTAAAAATAAGAGTCAAACACTGAAACCAACTTGTTGGAAACTGCCTTTGCCACCAGTATAGTGGAATAATTCCAGTTACTCCAAGCACACGTGTAATTAACTTTTGTATAAGAATTAAGGAAACTTGTGAAGCCAGAATGCCTTAGCAGCTGAAATTTCAGGTTTAAATATCATCATTACTATCAGAACAAATAATAACATTTTTTTCATTTTTATATTTTTCATGGGAAGAGAATACTATAGAATCATAGAACAGTTGGAGTAGGAAGGGACCTTAAAGCTCATCCAGTTCCAACCCCCAGCCACGGGCAGGGACACCTTCCAGCAGAGCAGGTTGCTCCAAGCTCCGTCCAGCCTGGCCTTGAACACTGCCAGGGATGTGGCAGCCACAGGTTCTCTGAGCACCCTGTGCCAGCGCCTCACAACCCTCAAAAGACAGTGGCTGTGTTTCCATAATGAACAAAATGAGACTGCAGCATTTCTGTTCTCACAGCAGGAGCAGTTTTCCTTGCTCTCCCATCCCCTGTACTGTGAACAGGTGCTCTGGGATGCTGTTGTCTTGCAGACCTGCTGTCTCCTTACCCTCCAAAGGCTCGAGTCCAGTAAATGTCCCATGAGCCTGCAAAGATGAAACATTTCTTTTTATCCTGGCAAAAGGGTGAGCAGAAATCAGCTCCACAGTGAGCATGAACAACTTCTGACTCATACCTGATTAGATCTAGTCTACAGCTTATTGAGTTTAGGAGAATCTTACTGGGTTCCTTCTGGCTATATTTCAGGATGATGGTTTAGGAAGTGAAGTTGTGTTGCATCCATAAGCACTTCATTTCTTTTCAGTTTTCATTCATTTTTATTGAGTCTTTTGTTTGTCATCATGGGGTAATATGTTCCTAAAACAGTAACCTCTTACAGTCTTTGAAATTATTATTTTGGACAGAAAATTTTCTTTAAAATAGCACTGTTGCTAAGTAAAAAAAATTCCCCAGGAAAATAATGTCTGCAAACATTGCAGGATTTTAATTAATATCGAATCATGGTATGAACAGGCAACTGAAAAATACAGTCTGCAAAATTCAGTTTAATTATTCTTGTTATTTAATTCCAGAGGATGCTTTGATTTGTCAAACAGAAGATGAGTGTACTTTTCCTCCTGAGGAGGCTGCTTGCCGGCAATGTTTGGTGAGCACAGACAGCAGCTGCAAAGGAGGTTTAAACAATGTAGAAGCTGCTGGTACAGATACATTCTTTTCTCAGGGATGGAAAGCAGAGTGTATAGGAGAAGACCCATGGGATAGGAACTCTGTGTTCAGGGAACACATGATCACACTAGAGATAAATATTGTCAGGAAATGCATGCATTCCTGGAGGTATCTTTGCTCCCTCTTTAACTCCAGGCGCAAGAAGAAGCTTGCTTTTTGCTTGATTTTGACTGTTCACAGCCCAGACAATTCCTGCTGCTGCTGGACAACCCATCCCTCTTGTCAGCATTGTGAGAAGGATGTGACTAATGGCTGGAACTAGATGATCTTACGGTCCTTTCCAACCCTAACTATTCTATGATTCTATGGTTCTATAAGCATTTTGAAGTCTTTGTGGGCTGCAGCTACATGGCCCAGCCAGGAGAACATGCCATCCCCTGGCTTGTGCTCTGCTGGGGAGGCTCTGCAAGGCACTAAAAGGTTACAGATGTAGTTCACAAGTGGCCAGATCGAAAAACAGCATGAGGGAAGCATTTAGTCCACTCTGTAAAAGGATAAGATGTTTCTCTGCAGCAACAGAAATGAAACTGAGGATCAGATTAATACCTGGACACTAGCATCCTAAGCTAAAGTGCATAAAGAAATCAGTGTTTCATTGAACCTCTGTAAAATGAGACAGGGAGATAAGTGATCAGTGCTGAGGGCTCAGCTCCTCAGTGGGGCAGAAACCAACAATCCATTGAATGAAAGTTACAGCTTTAACTTTGCAGCAGGGGAAAACAGCATGTTGGCATATCGGTGGAATTTTGAGTTTGTTGTATCCCAAACACATAAAAGGAGTTTTCCAGAGGAAATATAATAAAAGTTGTCCATGTTTCTATATCATTTTCAAACCGCAGAAATTACAGACTATAGGGTTTAGGAAAAAGTTGTTAATAAATTGAGATATTTCCCTCAGTTTTACCTTACAATACTGTTCATTTGAATATATTTTATAATTTTATACCAGTTTTCAGGAATTCATATTTCCAGATAAATAATGAAAGAGAATCATATATTTGTATCTCCTAATTCTGGGATTAATAGTTAAGCTTATTGCCTTATTTCTGATCACTCCCTACAGAAGTTAGAAATTTTTCAAAAAACATTTTTTATGAAAATGTTGCTTTTGATTATATTGAAATATTTCCTTTAAATTTTATTTTGCTGAAAAGTACATTGAAGGTATTGTAAAATTTGATGTAGATTTTAAAAATATTATTTTCATTCTATTATATTAGTTCTCATTTTTGTATAACTTTCACTTGGGCTTTATTCAGGTATGGTGATAGTAATGTATATTATGCACATGTAGTATCTATGTGTCCAGCTGTCTCATTATCAAACACAAGGTCTTTTGGCTTAGGAAGGAAATAAAAATTGTTTCAGTGAAAATTATATGTGAGCTTAATGATCATATCTTTATGGATTCTGAAAAGGTAAAGTAACGCTTTTAACAAGACATAATAAAATAATGTAAGATAAAATACCAAATATAACATCAGCAAATACTATCTTGAAACCCTCTAAATGACAACTTTCCAGAATAACAGCAGTTCATTTTGAAATACTGGTTTTGTGGATTTTTTCCAGTTGAGATTCTCCCAGATATGTCAGTTTCAACTAAACAGCATTTAGCTGCACATGGGTTTAATAGACAAGTTTATTTCTGAAAGTCTATATAGAAATTGGACTTTTTAGGTAGTTTAGAAAAACAATTTATCTTTACCTCTTGTGAATTAACTGCTTGAACTTCCCATCAAAGCAACTGCAGCACTACCAAATTTGGCAGCGCTGCAGGTCGAGTGAGAATTTGGAGGTTAAGAGAGCTGCTATGGGGGCTGACGGGACTCAGCACACAGCGCTAGGATGAATGCGTTTTCCTAGGACACAACAGCTTTACTGGGAAAGGCAGAACACCTGAAGAAAACAAGACTCAGATTTTGAGGACTTCATCCAGGACTTCACCTGATTTTACTGTTCATCCTGCAGTTCTTTTTTGTTACTTTTTTTTAGATTTTCCTTTGATCTTAATGAAGTGAAGTTTAAAGCACATAGACATATCTACCTATGGGTTGCAGTAGTGTCCCACTTAAGGTAACTGTGCATTTTTGACAGCTATGAGTGATTAGGGTGTGTGAAGAGGGCTCAAGGGGAATGACAGAGGTGCCTGCAGTCTTGAATCTTGCCATTTAATGAACGCATGTTAAATACAGTAATGGAGGGGAATCAAACTGGTTCACAGCTTGGTCATGTGCGTGTTAGTTTTAAATGTTTGTGTCCATTTGGACCAGGTTTGGGAGCAGGACTGTTGAAAATGCCAGGTTGGATGGAGTCTTGTGTGACATGGTTTAGTGTGAGGTGTCCCTGCCCATGGCAGGGGGGTTGGAACTAGATGGTCTTAAGGTCCTTTCCAACCCAAACTATTCTATGATTCTAAGTGCACAGCAGCAGCAGCAGACACAAGTCAAAGCCTGAAGCTGTCATGTTTGAGCTGGTACTTTCTGCTGGTGATACCTCCCATGTGTGGCTGTCTGCTTGCCCTCTCAGGGGGACAGTCTGGTGTGCACCAAAGGAGATGAGTTTCCTCATCTGCCTTTTGTGTGCAGGCACATGCTGAAGGTGGGAGCCGGGTTTTGCTGAGACAACAGATGCACATGTGAAGATAATTTCTATTCTTGTATCTAACTCTTTGCTGCAAAATAACAGTGGTGAGCGGTGGTAACTCAAGAAAACAAAAAATAGAAACTAACATAGTGGAAACAGGATGATAGATTAATGTCATTTTGTATGACAATGGTTATTGTCAAGTTACTGTCACAGGGTAGTTTTGCTCTGCGAAAATGTTTTTCATCTCAGCTCTCTTATTGTCTGGTTGTTTCTCAGATCAAGAAGACACTGGAGCTTGCAGTGCACAGATCGTTACATGTATGGAATTGACAACAAGGATATAAAATGTAGGTAAAATGATAAAAAAGTTGAGAAGGGGTGTGAGCAAAGACCTGCCTGTGAGCCTTCACCTTGAAGGCATGGGCATGCACATCAGAGGAGTGAAAGGAAACCCATGGAGAAGGCTGGTATGGCATGAAGCTCCATTGAACCCCTGGATATCCAGTACACAAATCCCTGAAAAAACAGGATTTCTGCAGGTGAATAATTTCTTCCATTGTTTTTTACAGTTATAAAGGAGTTGTGAAAATGGAAGAAGACACATGGCTATGGAGCCACGTACAGAAATTATGGTGTAACTTTGTTACGACTTTTTCCTTCCCTTTTAGGTTTGTCCTGAGGATGATTTAGCTACTGAAGAGAAATAAAAGCAGAAAGAGGCCACACCTAAAATCATGGAGTGAGACTTTTTCTTCTCATTGATATTTAATATTTTTATATTTAAATATTTATTGATATTTATTTAGATCCTCGAATCTTTGTTCCAGACATTGACTCTGCAGCAAATAACCATATCAAGGGAAGAAAGATTTATGTGACTATTATGTGCAGGCAAAACTGTGTGTATCTGATGCATAAAAAGGTTTCTGAATTTTGAGATCTACTAAATCAGTTGGGGTTTATTGCAATATCTTTCTGTGGTTCATTTGTTCAGGAAGAGAGCCTATATTAAATATGAAGGTCATATATATAGGAAAATATTTTATTAGTTAATAAAGCAAGAAAAAGTATGTAATGCCCTAATATTCCTTTAATCTGCTTATGCAGTGCTAGTGTAATAGATCTTCCTTCTTTAACCAGTCTTCTAAATGAATGAAAGTCCCACTAAATGAATGAGGCCCTCTGCCCACTTTCTAAAGGTTCAGTTATCCAACAAAGACTGAAAATAATGATAATGACTCAGGTAGACAATGGAATTCTAAATTTCGAGTATTAAATGAATGCTGTCATTCATGTAAATTGTACCATAAACTGACTTAAGACAAAAAAAGAATGCAAAAAAAAATTTATAGCACTTGCTATGAGGAAAACTTGCAGTCAGAGAAAAGGCTGAGTTAATTGAATAAATAATATGCCCATACCCCTTAATATATAATACATTAATGCAATATATCTTCATATTGATCTGCTACCAGACAGTCATGACAACTTCATTACTTTTGTGTAAAGAGTAGGCTTTTAGAACACCAGCTGACATTCTTTTTCCTTATTTCAGGTTTGTGTTGGACTGTGCTCACTATGTGCCGACATTAAATTCTCACTCTGTGCAGACATCAGTTGAAATGCACTGAAAAGAGCTAAAAAGCTTTCCAGATTTCCTACCTTTCAAAAACTCCCATCTCTCATTAAGGATGTGCAAAAGCACACTTCTAATGAATATCCCTGGGTGACTTGTTGTCACATCAAGATTTCGTATAAAAATGAATTAGTAGAAACTTTGGCCAAACTTTTTGGTAATCTGTATTTTTACATTTCGCATTTCATGTGAATCAGATGTCGAACAGCAATTCTATCTTGTACTACCTGTATGCTTTTCAGTTACATCTTGCTTCCAATTGCTGTTGTATAGCTACCAAACACCAAACCACAGAGCTCCCAGGGGCTGCGTAACCTGTTTACAAGAGGTGCGCTGATTCCTGTGGTTTCACAAGTTCCTTGGAAAGATGTCTGAAGAGGCTTTCCGTCACCGACACGAACAGAGGCAGGCTTCCCAAGGTCTTTCCCATGGCTACAGAAATGATCCAGAGGTTTTCCCATGAAGGAATTCATGGTAGAGGCAGAGACTGGAGAATTTCATGGGAAGAAGTTGCTGGCGGGGCTCCTGAGCTTGGGTCCACTGCAAATGGCAGGTGAGGCGCAAACGCTTGCAGCACTGCTGTGTCCCTCAAGAGAATGCCTGGGCATGGAAGAGGGCTGTGGGAGGACACACCTGCCCATCCCTCTGAGCTGTGTTTGGTGCTAAGCCGCATGGAGCTGTCATTTGGTTAATGCTGTGCACTCACAAATACTGCTGCTCTCTGTGCTGGATTTAATTTTGGGAGGATTGAAAGGAAGTACCTTGGGAAGGATTGTACGAGAAGAAGACATATAAACCTTTTTTCATGACTCAACTTTGTTATTTTCACAAATGCAGAACACATTTGGTCTGGCATCCCATTTGATTTGTTTACTGCTTTTGTGTCCCACATTTGCACAGGCTTTCCAAACAGAGATACTTCTCTCATCTGGCCTGTCTCTGTCTTCTGCACAGAAACCTCAGTATAGGTGGGTGGAGTACATGTCCAGGGCATTTGAGTGGGCCATGGAGGGGAACAGAGTGAACTTTTGGAATAACCTGGGCTGTATTTCAAGCTTGCCCATGGTTCAAGTGTAGAAATTATGGGATTTTTTTGGGAAATGATGTTAGGCAATATCAGCTATCAGCCCCTACCTTGGTTGCACACAGCTTACTCTTTACGTGATCCACCCCTGGATGTGGAATATTACAGCACTGTTACGAATTATTCAGTCTGTGTGCTTTGGAAAGTATGCACCATGGCTCATTTTCAAACGTCACCTTTGTTATAAATATGAGTGGTTCCTACATTGACATGAAACTAGTCAGGTAGAATTTAAAAGAGCAAAGAATTTCACAGGTGGCTGATTTGTTGCTTGATTGTGGTGTGTGTAAATAGTTCTGTGCTTCAAAAGAATACCATAACCCCACCACAACCACCACCTCCCCCCATTGCATTCTAGATAAGGCTGCTGCTAGCTTTTCCTAACTGTAACTCCCGGGTTAGTTGGGATGTATCTGAGTTAAATCAAACTGAAAGAAGGAACAAACCCATCCTCTCAGCCCAGCCTTTTTCCAGCCAGAGCCTTCTTTTTAACCACCATGTCAGCTGGCCTTGCCCTTTTCAGATATGCTGAGAATGAAGCACTAGCTCCGCTGTCCCTGTCACCTGGCATATCTGCCAGAAGGTTGGGAGATCTAAAAAGGGTAAGTTTTTTCTGCATATGTGCTGAGGCTTGTTGTATAAACACTGTCATACTGCAGCCTTTCAGAAATGCTTTGGCTTCACTTAAACGCCTTTGTAATGGCCCATACGAAGAGAGTTTCCCCAGAAGCAGTTACCTAGCATGCATCATTCTTGGCAGTATCTGCAAATAAACTTCTTGTAATTGATTTAATAATTTTCAAATAAAAAAATTATGATAGCTGCAGACAGCTATAAATAACAGAAATGAAACACATTATTTGCACGGTGCCTTCACATGCACTTGTTTAGCTCTTCTTGCTGTTAAGTTAAAACATCTGTTTCTATGGAAGTGGAGCATTCCATGCAACAAACACAGCACTGGAAGTGACCCACATATTAAATGACAACATTTGACAAATTCTAGCAGTTGATTACTGGGGAGGAGTAGACTGTGGTTATAATCAGAGTAAACCAGAAAAATGTGTACCTTTATAAACCTAGAGTTTAAATGAAACATCTGTACTAAATCATGTTTGTAGAACAGCACTGTAGCCAACTACCAGACCATATGATAATGGGGTGTTTTTAACAATCCCTATTTCCATCGCCATCCTCCAAATCAGATCCAGATTCTGCCCAATGGCATGAATTCTGCTGGAAACCAACTGGAATAGCGTCAGGCTACAGTGGATGCTGTCAGTTTAAGATACAGATACCCATAAAAAGTTAGTGATTCCAATACCTTATAGAGATTATAAGCACAGGTAGGAGCTCCATGAATACTGGGGTGCTTTGCAGACAACAGTCTTTTCCAGGCATATTTTAACCGAGATTTACATACTGGAAAAAGGTGCCTATGGCAGGGGGATTGGAACTAAATGATCCTAAGGTCCTGTCATACCTAAACCATTCTATGATTCTATGATTTGCTGAAGTGACCATGGAATCTTATTCTTAAGGAACTGTGAGTGTGTAGCAAGAAAGTGGATATTAGAATTACAGCAGCAGGTCAGCTGGTGATAAACTGAAAGTGCTCAGGCTGGCAACAAACCCAGGTTTGGCAGCTCATTTAAATGCAATTCTTTTGGTCTGTGAAATTGGTATACAAAAGTCAAGTAAGTACAATGTTTTTTGAGTGCTTCCTGTTGCTGTTAAGTGGATACAAAGCAAAAGAAAACTAGTTTAGTCCACCTTTTTATGTAGATTCTTGAACTGACATTCATTAGTATAATCTGAACAGGCGAATTTTCTTGTTACTGTAGAATATTCTCAAAATTAATTTAAAAACAAATAAATGCCCAAACCTTGTATTAGCTTTACACAGTCACTGCATTCTTTCAAAAACATAAAAAGGCAAACCCACCCTGCAAAAACATTGTTAGTTTTAGACGACCCATCATAAAAAAGTTGCCATCGTATTAGGAAAACCTGTGCAGAATTCCTTGGCCAACATGAGTGACACCCAATAAAAACTGTAATATTGAATGAATGAAATATTACTTGAGTGACAATCAAGAAATCAGTTATTTTGGACAGGGTAAGTTCTCACTCTGAAGAGGTAGATGAGTGCCATTTGGCAAGAATTAAGGCTACATTAACAGGGAACAGATAATATAATGAGTGGTAGTTTCAACAATTACAGTTACAGGTTAGCAGCACATACCTAAAATACTATAATAACGAAATTATCCCATTATTTAGAGCTAACTAGCAGGACTTTATGTCTATGAGAAGTTAATAGGATTCTTATTTAAGAACAAGGAACAAGTTTTTAAGATAGCATGAAAGTTGTACAGTTAGGAGGTAGGGAAAAATCTATGCAGTATTCATCTTAACATTGTGATGTATTTTGATGATCCAATATTTTGTTTTAAACATTCTGTTTAAGTTTACAAATAATATAAAAGAAGCTTAAATAGTTGCACCACCACCATAATAGAAATTGTGACTGGTAGGTTACTGAATTCAAGAATAACAACAGGAAAGTGGACTACCAGTGCAACCAGTGTGCTTAAATGTAGAAGAAAATTTTAAATAAAAAGCTGAAGTGCTTTGGGATAAACACAAAATGGGAGGCAGAGGATGTTAAAGCTCAAAAGACTTAGAAATACAAGATCATCTTTGGTCTTATGTTTTATTAAAACTTTTTTGTAGATTTATAGATGTTATTGTCACAAGGGACTATTAGATCATCTGGCCTGAGCTGATCTTGTATAAAAGCAATGTCTAGAGAGTCCTCTGAGAGGGCTCTTCCTCAGTTTATTTTATACCGTATAACTGATAACTTACAGTGCTATTAGACAAAATTAAACCCTTTGTCATCTAGATCTTCAATGAAATAATTCTCACAATATGTTCCTTGAAGACCCATTTTTATGGCGGCATTTATTCCAAAATCCAGTGCAAAACTTAATTCCTAGTATTTACCTGAGTTTTAAGTTGCTTGCTTCTGGTGTCATAGCATCCGACAAATAAAACCACTTGATCAGAAACATCTAAATTTTCCTTATTCTTTGGCTTCTTTCAGTGTCAGGCCATCGGTATATATTTCAGTATATTACTTCCTGAGTTATTGAAAATGGCACAGATGAACTGTTGCATAAAGTTGAAAAAATACCTCTGAACCTGCCAACATCAGTGTCTAGTTTCTTAAGACTAACCTTTTGGTTTGGAAGAGTTTTACAATGGTTGTATGTCTCACTAATGAAAGTTGTCAGCTTAATCTATCTCATCAAATACGCTACTCACTAGAATTCTACTTCTATTTAGGAGGAGTGTTAGTAATTGATGAAATAATACCAAATTCTGTAACAGCAGTTTCAGAGGGTTTTTTTACACCACAACATGAAGGCTGCAAGTTACACTATATACCTCATCACTCATGAACAGCATAGCTTTATATGCACAGTAAATAACAGCTAAATTAAATGGAACGAGTATTTTAGACAAGTTAAGAGCCGAGGTAAATTTTAGGCCATCTTTCTTAAAATACATTAGCCAGGTAAATTTACTCTCCTCTCAAGAAATGCAGTTACCTCTTAACCTCATGATTTTCAGAACTGTCTGGTGTTAAACTCACTCCAGCAGAGAAATGTTGGATTCTGTAACGTCAGGAAGCATGACCACCACCATTTTGTAATTCTATTGCATTTTTCATATCATGTACCATTATTTAATTCCATTTTGCCATTCTTATGTCGTGTGGGATTCTGCCTGCATGGCATGACAGTTGAAAGTCTGGCGCACATTCTTGACAGCTGTTTTGAAGTGAAGGCTGCAATGCGTGCTACATCTGGAGGTGCTGAGGTTTGAGTGCAGACAGTGGAAAAGTCCAATTTCTCTTTAGGGATGACTGGGATAGATTTACAATATCTAAGCTCTCACTCAGGAAGGGGACTCCATAAGGATCTACTCAGGCAGATGCTGTTGCAAAATGAAAGCCAAAGATTCTATGGCACATTTTGTGATACTCCTAAATAAGTTAAATTAAAACAAGTTAAATATTGGGTTAGAGGACTCATGAACATTGCCTATGCTATCCTGAAATGGCAGGCAAAAGATATCCGTTTTCTGTCTGATTTCCTTCTAATTTTTAAGATATGGTTTTGTTTATAAATTGTATAGGAAAGCAAAGCTGGATCTAGGCTTCATAGCAGACTTTATGGATGACAGGAGAATTGCTAAAATGGTAATACTATCAATGTCAAGAAATCCAAACTGAATTAATTAAGATGCAATGTGTCTTAAGAAAAGTGGGTTGGAAGGGAAGGGGGTTGGCAAGTCATGTTTTTAAACTTGATCTGTTAACATTTTGTTCTGGGAAAAGGATGGACGATACTTTATCAATGATTTCATGTCCTGTCCATTCAAAAACTCTTAATTCACACAATATTTTCACACAAAACTAGTACATTCTTCTAGTTATAAGACATCTTTTAGTGTCATATAAAAATACAATCAATATTGCTTAATTTCAGAGCAAAACAGAAATTCACTTTGTGCCCTTGCATATTTAAAGAATAAAGCTGGCCAAGCTCTTCTACACACTGTAGCACTCCAGGTGTGATGCATTTTTGGAACTGTGGGCTTTCCTCCTGAAAAACTTATTCTTGAGAGTAGTACTTTCCAAATATTTCTGGTTTCTATTTATCAATCCAGAATGTTCCTCCTAAAATAGAAGTATCCTGAGTATTTTATAATGCATAAGGAAGTGGCTGGGAAGTTGACTGGTTTGGTTATTGACATTTTCTTGGGTTTTTTTCTAAGCATTTTCATCCTCCTGGCTTTTGGACACACAGCGCCAGCTGTGAATACTGGATATGTCTCTGAAGCAAAAGGGGTCAGTGGGAATATGAGGATCTCCTGTGTTCCCACTACATTGTATCAGTCTTCAAAGCTGTGTTGTGCCACATAACAACAGTTTGACCTCACTGTACCACATCATTTGAGGCCTGGATGGAGTGTTTCCCAACTCTTCCCAGTTCCACAAATCCCCTTTGCAGCAGAGGAGCTGTCAAGGTGTTGAGTTGCCCCTTTCTCCTCCAGCAGTGCTACATCAGTGCTCAGGACAGTGAAGCTCCACAAGGCATGGAAGAAAGAACAGCACATTGGATAAAGCCAGTCTGGGATGCACTTGGGATGTACCTAGATGCTTTGGTGGTTGTTATTACAGAAAATCCAGACCTGTCTTCGCCTTTGTGCTAAAACTGGAGATTCACACTGAGTGCTTTATTCTGTGGCTTCACCAGAGTATATTCTTGTTCAAGCATGGCACTGTGCTTATTCTTCACTTCCAGTTTCACAGGATCTTATAATCAACTAGGTTGGAAAAGACCTTTAAGATCATCAAATCTAACAATTACCCCAGAACTGCCAAGTCCACCACCAAACCATGTCACTGAGGTTTCAAGACTGTATTTGTATTTGAAGCCAATGGCATTGTTTCATGGAAATACAGAAGTCCTTACCAACTAAGAATAAGGCAGTCATCAAAAAAAACTTCCACTCTGGTCATATTTCAAGAGATTCAGTAGAGCCTAGGACAGCCTGACAGCACTGCATCTCCTTGTTGAAGGCCCTGTAGCACATAGAAATACAAAATTTAAGTGTTCAGATTTTTGAGGTGAAATTCTATCCAAATCATTACAGTGCACAGAAATGTGCAACCTCAACAGAAAGAGTTTCTCCATCTGAAATAAAATATTAGTGCTGCTGTTGATGTAGCCAGTTTCCCCAAGCAAGCACCATCATCAGATGGTCCTAATTGAGTTCTGACACTCAGTCTAATCAATGTGTATTAAAGAAAGAGCAAAAGAACTAGTTTTGGGAAAATTACATATTTAAAAGATTTGGTGTCAGCCACAGTGATTTTACATTAAGTGAAAGCTGCTGTTAGGAAAAATAAATGAGAAAATCTCAAATCTACTCAGCTCCATTCGCTGCACATTTTAAGAAGAGAAACCTTGTTGATCATAAATACATTATTGTTTGTTAAATGAGAGACCTGTATATTCCCTGGATATGTTATTTTTAATAAACCTTGCTTCTTATACACATAAACCTCAGGGAACATTCAAATTACTATTTTACCTCTACAAAATGTTCATTTTCTGTTTTCCCCCATCAAGAATAACTTTGAAAAACTGTGTAGTACTTCAGACTTCTATAAGCAGGTGAGGTTTTACTTGTAGAACCAATGGCCAAATGATGGTTGGGTGGTCTAAAGTTTACTCAGCACCCACATATTATATGGTTTCCAGAACTTCTGTGGTTGAATTTGAATATTTAACTTTTTTTCATTCTGTGCATTAAATTGTTATTTCAAATTATTGAGGCAGTAATGGAAAACTGTTAGCTTCAGCATGATATAATAATATAATGAAAGCCTGAATTATTTCTCTGACATTTAAGATGTTGTTATGTATATTTTTAATTATTTATACATTATGCACTCATAAATACTTACACTTCTTTGTGGCAACCAGATCTCTTCAAAATCATTGGTTATTCATCATGGATGTCCACATGAACCTCCTGCATCCCAATGGAAAAATAAGTCTTTTGTCCTTTACTGTTTCCTATCAATAAGCCTTTTCAGTGTTTTTTGTTTTTAACTAAGTATTTTTTAGAGCTGTTATCTTAGCTTCATGGTGCCTAAATTTATCTTTCTGTATGAAAATTAAAATGATGAAAGGCAGATTGCAAAGAAAACATTGAATTCTTATATTATTTCTGAACTAATCAGTTATCTTTGGTTTCAAATATGCAGTTCCAGGAGGCCCTGGGGGCCCCAGTGGTGGAAACCATCTGCTGCAGAGGCTTCAGTGTCTTAGGGACTCAGAGTAAAAGTTTCAAAACCAATCAAGGATTTATTTCTGAACATGATCTCTTCATTTTTAATTTTCTGTTACTTCTCATTCTATATAGAAAAAACAATGCAGAGAAATAGCATTCCAGTCCTTTTTAGCTTTAATTATCTGTTAGCAAACATTAGCAAACTGTAGTGGAATCTTCTGTATTTAGTGAATCTGGCCAAGATACATTTCACTCACTATCGCACCTAGCTGTTTGTCTAAGCTTAGACATTGGTGTTGGCCAAAGTTAAAAAATCAGGTTGACTGTAGTGTTACCAATCCTAGCCATGCCATCTGTCTTACCTCAGTATAATACACAGAACCATTAGGAGCGTATCAAAGGACTCCTAGCAATCAGAAAACTAAACAGAAAAAAACAATGAGAAACTCCAGAGCCAAGATGTAGCTGAAGTTTTTCCCATCATCCCAGACTTGGTTGTCTTACTTGCTTCTCTGAGAAGGAGAGTCACAGTCCAAATGCACTAGGTAAGGCAACCCTTAGGTTCTGACTAACAGCTTGTTTGTCAAAGCACAGCAAAAATAAAGGCCATTTTTACATATAATAGTTTTTTTTTCCCATTTTTACATATAATATCCCATGAAAGTGGGATACCTAAGTTCAGGTCCAGCCCTATCTATTAGTGTCAAGTTTGCGTCTCACATCTCCAAGGATTCCCTGGGTAAGGTTAGAAAGGATTAAGCATTTCTTCTCTTCTCCTCATAAAGATGGACTATTGTGCAGCAAACTGCAATATAAAGGCTCTAACAATTTGGTAGGCAAAGGGTAAATTGAAGCAGAAAGAGGCAACAGTTTTCTAAAGATTATATACTTCTGGGTCAGGGGTGGGTTTGGAACACTGTTCCCAGTAGATGCTGTTACTAGCATCTATATTTTTTATATCATCTGTCTATTTCTTGGTTTTTCTTTAAGACTTCTTTTCTAGAAATCAGCTGTGGAGGACAGTCAGAAGTAACACTGCTTACCTGGCTGTTATGCTCCAAACTTTATAAAGCACATTATTTGTGGTTTCACTCTCTTTTACTCAGTAGTGCCTACAACATCAGCCCAACACCAACAATCCCTTGTTTATTCATTTCAGCTTCCAGGAGGCCTGCTGCCACTGCTGCTACTGAGTCATAGGTATTAGACTTTATTAGGCTTGAGAACACATGGTGCCTTAATAGACATAATCACATCTGTGTCATGAAAATTAATGAAAAAATATTTTTAGATCATTTATTGATTCACCGATTTAACTCATTCAAGCATCTGTCTTCTTTCATGTTCTGTGTCATTTTCCCTAGCTACACAGAACAAACCAGCTTTGCAGAAATACTTGAATCAATCTTTGGCTCTGATTTTACAAGGATATCTGTATGGGTAGGTAATTGGAGAGTCCCATAAATAAATAAGGGACTTAGATACTATAAACCCTTCCCAACAGTCCCAAAAGAGAAATTGTTGTTTTCCACCATACTTTTCCACTCCAACCTCACCAGATGTAGTATACATCATATTCGTAGTTTCAAAACAGCTGTCAACAGTGTTTGCCAGAATCTCAGTTGCCTTGGCATTCAAATGGTATTTCACATGACACACAAGTGGCAATATCAAAAGAATAATGGCAGACAGCACTGCAGAAATATCAAATGGATTGATGGAAGAGTAAATCAGATTGCAGGCATCTTTAGTGACACACTTTTCCATTTACCCACTCAGCTGAAGTACTTATGTCTAGGGCTATTTTTCCCACAAGTGTCTTTATGATTTTGGCATTGTTATATACTCCTATTCTCTTGGTTCTGGTATCACATTATGTTTATTCCTTCAATTCCTGTTGCAGAAATGGTATCCAAGGTAGGATTCTTTCTTCAGTCATCTACTAAAATTAGCTTCTTCCTGCCTTCCCAAAAACTTGACACAGTCTCCCACAGCATCCTCACAGCTAAATTGAGGAAGTGTGGACTGGATGATCAGGTAGTGAGGTGGACTGTGAACTGGCTGAAGGAGAGAAGCCAGAGAGTTGTAGTCTATGGGGCTGAGTCTAGTTGGAGGCCTGTAACTAGTGGAGTGCCTCAAGGGTCAGTACTGGGACCGGTGTTATTTAATATATTCATCAACGATTTAGATGAGGGAATTGAGTGTACTATCAGCAAGTTTGCTGATGACACTAAGCTGGGAGGAGTGGCTGACACGCCAGAAGGCTGTGCTGCCATCCAGCGAGACCTGGATAGGCTGGAGAGTTGGGCAGGGAGTAACTTGATGAAATATAACAAGGGAAAGTGTAGAGTCCTGCATCTGGGCAGGAACAACCCCAGGTTCCAGTATAGGTTGGGGAACGACCTGTTAGAGAGCAGTGTAGGGGAGAGGGACCTGGGGGTCCTAGTGGATGACAGGATGACCATGAGCCAACACTGTGCCCTTGTGGCCAAGAAGGCCAATGGCATCCTGGGGTGTATTAGAAGGAGGGTGGTTAGTAGGTCGAGAGAGGTCCTCCTTCCCCTCTACTCTGCCCTGGTGAGACCCCATCTGGAATATTGTGTCCAGTTCTGGGCCCCTCAGTTCATGAAGGACAGGGACCTGCTGGAGAGAGTCCAGCACAGGGCAACTAAGATGATTAAGGGAGTGGAGCATCTCCCTTATGAGGAAAGACTGAGGGAGCTGGGTCTCTATAGTTTGGAGAAGAGGAGACTGAGGGGTGACCTTATAAGTGTCTATAAATATATGAAGGGGGAGTGTCACGAGGATGGAGCCAGGCTCTACTCAGTGGCAAACAATGATAGGACAAGGGGTAATGGGTACAAACTGGAACACAAGAGGTTCCACTTAAACTTGAGAAGAAACTTCTTCTCGGTGAGGGTGACGGAACACTGGAACAGGCTGCCCAGGGAGGTTGTGGAGTCTCCTTCCCTGGAGACATTCAAAACCCGCCTGGACACATTCCTGTGTAACATTATCTAGGTGTTCCTGCTCCGGCAGGGGGATTGGACTAGATGATCTTTTGAGGTCCCTTCCAATCTCTAGCGTACTGTGATACTGTGATACTGTGAAACTTGTCACATTGGTCAAAATATTAACATTGAGATAACCTGTTTATTATGCATCTGAAGTGTTTGGTCCTCCTGCTTCATGTTTCTTACGTGTTGTGGATAGTCTGCTTTCAGTCTGTTGTCCCTCTCCCCCTCACTGCTCTTTTGGTGTCAACCAGAAGCCAGCTGGCTGGTCCATCCTCCTTCAGTTCAAAGTTACTTTGGTGAGTACCAGAATAATACGGTACTTCCTCCAAAGGCCCAGTTGCTACCTTTCTCCAATCAGGCTTATAGGCCCTAACAAAGAATTCAAAGCGTCATCTTATTGGGGAATTTAAGTCAATTCTAAGAGCAGCTGAAAAGGGACATTCATAAAGAAGGAATGAAGATGTCTGTTATCATGAGTCCCAGCTTTTCTGCTAGACGTTCTTTTCTCCAGAACTATTCTCATGATTGAAGCAGCAACAGGATCCAAATAACACACTGACCGGTTTCCAGTATGCTTAATACGATCTTTGGACTGGACAGGCTAGTTTATGGCCCAGTACAGCCTGGTGTGGCTGCAGGGAAGTGCCCAGGAAGGTCTAGTCCTTTCCCACCACATACTTGGTTCCAGGATCCAACAGATAATGTAACACTATTCTGTTACAGCTGCAAATGGAAGTTATTTTATGATTGCTGGTTGTACTTACTTTGAAAAAGGTATTTTAAGAGGACAAAGGTCTAAGATGTGCTGCAGCTGATGGACTTTTTGCTTTTGTTTGTGAGAAGAGAGGGCCATTCTCAGCCTAGAGCCATGGGCCAGAAAGCTCCTTATCCAATAAATTCAGGACAGGGATGAACATCAGCAGAAGCAGAGATGAGCACACACTCAGAAAAGCAATTAAATACACCTTCTGCAGTGAACTGTTTTCTCAGTTAGGCCTACTGTGAAAAATTTAGACGTCTTTCTCATTTTTCCTCAGAGAAAAGCTTTACATAGGTTTTAAGCAGTGATAAATAGCACACTTGCCACAATGCCTTAGTCATGATTGATTGCTATGTGTATTGTATGTGGTATGTTATATGCTGGTTTTCTGGCACTGGTTTCCTGTCATTACTCAAATGTCATTTCATCTGGAGCAATGGCTGAATTTCCAAATGAAAAGTAAGGGCTCTGATAAAAAGGACAATCACATTTTCACATCATTGGTGAAAATCAGGAGGAAATTCATTTCAATATAGTTGTTTTGTGTTTATATCAGTGTCACTTAATGTAGAATGTAATGCTCTACACAAAGCTAGGTCCAAAGTGTGTTGTTTTAATGTGATAATTTTGCACACTAATTGCCAGAAGTGGAAGTCTTGTGTTAAATAGGGATGTTCATGAGCCAGTTCTAGTTTTGTACTAGCTAGTTTTTCAAAATCTTAGAAAATTAATTCTCTCTAATCTTCAACATCTCTACATTGGTAGAGAAAACAGCAAAGAATGATACCTGCAACCTCTCGCTGCTAAGAGGTCTGGAACAACATTTGGACAGGAGATC